CCTATTGCAGATTCAGTCTTCCCAGCCTGGTGCAGGTCTACAATTTTGTTTCTGGTGTCCTTTGACAGCTCTTTGGTCTTGGCCATAGTGGAGTTTGGAGTGTGACTGTTTGAGGTTGTGGACAGGTGTCTTTTATACTGATAACAAGTTCAAACAGGTGCCATTACTACAGGTAACGAGTGGAGGACAGAGGAGCCTCTTAAAGAAGAAGTTACAGGTCTGTGAGAGCAGGAAATCTTGCTTGTTTGTAGGTGACCAAATACTTATTTTCCACCATAATTTGCAAATCAATTCATTAAAAATCCTACAATGTGATTTTCTGGAGAAAAAAAATCTCTATTTGTCTGTCATAGTTGACGTGTACCTATGATGAAAATTACAGGCCTCTCTCATCTTTTTAAGTGGGAGAACTTGCACAATTGGTGGCTGACTAAATACTTTTTTTCCCCACTGTATATAAAGGATATTTCATGCTGAAACCCTCATATCAAACTTGCCTGCTATCCAAGTTCCTTGCTCCGGGCCAAACGCTAAGCCACGCCTACGGACGTTGGTTTTCTTCTCCGCAATGAGTCTGGATCTGAGAACCTCCCCGACGATTCTAGAACGGAAATCCATTCTAGACCTTATAATTGGTCCCAGAAACCGATGGGTTGGGCCAGAGCCAGAACACACGCGGGTATAGCAGCGTTTTCAAAATGTGTCATTGGCTTTGATACTCTGATTTGGTTTAGCGATGATCCAATCGCTGATGACTTTTATTTTGTACAACACCCCTCATTTTGGCGTCACCACAAACGACTTAAATGATGGCAGTCTCAGACTGAGGTATGTAGCGAACACAGTGCAGCGGAATAATTCAGTTCCAGTCGTCAGGCGAATATTAAACACCAGTGGTGTTCACTAAGCTGATGGTTTATATTTAGGATCATGTTTGACAGCTTTGTCATTCTATTTTTTATTTAAAAAATCATCTTGTTCAATTATTTCCTATATTTTACACATGATAAGGCTACATAGAGGGCCAGAGATTATTTCAGACACCTGTGATAATCTGGGCTGGCAAATGTGTATATATATCTAAGGATAGTTTATGTGTGTTTCCTTTGTGTGTTATGGAACCGTGTTTTGCTTTTGCAGTGTGAGAGAAAAATTGGGTTGAACCGTGAACAATGATTAGGACTGAGTCAGCACATGTTTGTGTTAGTGGGTTTTGCGTTTCAAGTTTTATTAGTTGTATGTACAGGATACACATGAAATGCTCACTTGCAGTCTTCTAGAAGGTATACAGCGTATGTCAGAATTGACTTTTCGTAGCAGGTTAGGATAATTAAGGCAGCCGGTTAGGAGAACTTATACAGCAGGTTATGATAATTAACATAGCAGGTTAGGATAATTAGGTTAAGGTTAGGAAAAGGGTTAACGTAAGGGTTAGCTAAAACTTCAATTTGACAATCTGTATCCCATCTAGACATGACTGCGTTACTTTGTTTGCCTTGTGTTTCTCGTGTTAACGCTGTGTGTGTTTTCAGCATGAGGCGGACAGTGCCCTGAGGAAGGCCCGTGTTCTGCAGACCCAGAGACAGGAGGAGTATGAGAAGGCCCGGGTGTCCACCAGCCGAGTAGAGGAGGAGCAGCTGGGATCAGCCAAGCTGGAGAAGAGACGCAGGCTGGAGGAAGAGGCTCTGCAGAAGGTAAGACATTGTCCCTAAGGCCCATAGATTATCTGTGAGGCCCATAGCTTGTCCCTGAGGCCCATAGCTGATCCGTGAGGCCATAGCTCGTCCCTGAGGCCCATAGCTCGTCCCTGAAGCCTATAGCTCGTCCCCGAGGCCCATTGCTCGTCCCTGAGGCCCATAGCTTGTCCCTGAGGCCCATAGCTCGTCCCTGAGGCCCATAGCTCGTCCCTGAGGCCCATAGCTCGTCCCTGAGGCCCATAGCTCGTCCCTGAGGCCCATAGCTCGTCCCTGAGGCCCATAGCTCGTCCCTGAGGCCCATAGCTCGTCCCTGAGACCCATAGCTCGTCCCTGAGGCCCATAGCTCCTCCCTGAGGCCCATAGCTCCTCCCTGAGGCCCATAGCTCGTCCCTGAGGCCCATAGCTCCTCCCTGAAAGCCATATCAAAAATCTAATCAAATTTGATTTGCCACATGCGCCGAATACAACAGGTGAAGACCTTACAGTGAAATGCTTACTTACAAGCCCTTAACCAACAATGCAGTTTTAAGAAAAAGAAAAAAAGTGTTAAGTAAAAAATAGATAAATAATTAAAGAGCAGCAGTAAAATAAAATAACAGTATGGAGGCTATATACAAGGGGTACCGGTACAGAGTCAATTTGCGGGGGCACCGGTTAGTCAAGGTAATTGAGGTAATATGTACATGTGGGTAGAGTTAAAGTGACTAGGCATAGATAATAAACAGAGTAGCAACAGCGTAAAAGAGGGGGTGGGGGGGCAATACAAATAGTCCGGGTAGCCATGATTAGTCTTATGGCTTGGGGGTAGAAGCTGTTAAGAAGCCTTTTGGACCTAGACTTGGCGCTCCGGTACTGCTTGCCGTGCGGTAGCTGAGAGAACAGTCTATGACTAGTGTGGCTGGAGTCTTTGACAATTTTTAGGGCCTTCCTCTGACACCGCCTGTAATAGAGGTCCTGGATGGCAGGAAGCTTGGCCCCAGTGACGTACTGGGCCGTACGCACTACCCTCTGTAGTGCCTTGCGGTCGGAGGCCGAGCAGTTGCCATACCAGGCAGTGATGCAACCAGTCAGGATGCTCTCGATGGTGCAGCTGTAGAAGTTTTTGAGGATCTGAGGACCCATGCCAATGTCTCCTGAGGGGGAATAGGCTTTGTTGTGCCCTCTTCACGACTGTCTTGGTGTGTTTGGACCATGATAGTTTGTTGGTGATATGGACACCAAGGAACTTGAAGCTCTCAACCTATTCCACTACAGCCCTGTCGATGAGAATGGGGGCGTGCTCAGTCCTCTTTTTTTACCTGTAGTCCACAATCATCTCCTTTGTCTTGATCACGTTGAGGGAGAGGTTGTTACCCCATGAGGCCTTAGTTACTCACTGAGGTCCATAGCTCGTCCCTGAGGCATCAAATCTTACCTATGAGGCCCATAACTAATCACTGAGGCCTAGTGTTCTCTCAAATACGTAATCAAATAACAGTTAATCACATCTTAGCAACTAACCCTAAACTGCTAAATTAGAATCCACATTCACATACTGAAGATGTGGTCCTCTGTAGCTCAATTGGTAGAGCATGGCGCTTGTAACGCCAGGGTAGTGGGTTCGATCCCCGGCACCACCCATACGTAAAAAAATGTATGCACACATGACTGTAAGTCGCTTTGGATAAAAGCGTCTGCTAAATGGCATATTATTATTATTATTATAAGATGTTACCCTTTTGATCAGTGGATTGTAGTTGTGAGATTTTAACCCCCTCCCTACCCTGTTCCATAGGCAGATGAGGCCAGAGACCACTGCAAGGCCTGTCTGACAGACGTAGGGGTGAAGAGAGTGGACCTGGCCAACACCAAGTGTGAGATCCTCACCCAGTTACGAAAGCTGGTCTTCCAGTGTGACCTCACTCTGAAAGCGGTATGTTGAGAAGTACAGTAACCAAATATTAACCCGAAATGTAGTAGAATTGTGGAATTTATAGAGAGGATTAACTTCTGAGCTTATTTTACTATAAAACAAAAGTGTTTCATTGCTCCCTCAAAGTTTTGTCAAGTTAGTTCCTAGATTTCCAGTGGCCATATTTGAACATAGCGTCTAGTGTAGGTACTGTCATAGAAATAGAACTCATGGAAATAGAACTCATGGAAATAGAACTCATGGAAATAGAACTCATGGAAATAGAACTCATGGAAATAGAACAAGTAGAACTAATTATAATCCTATGGGTGATTTATCTCATGGGTTCTCTGTGTGTTTCTCCCCAGATGACAGTGAACTGGTTCCAGCTCCAGCAGGCCCAGGTTGTGTCTCTGCCCGTCAACCACCAGTCTCTGTGTGAGAGCGCCAAGCTGTACGAGCCGGGACAACGCTACATCAACTTCGTCAGGAGTCTTCCTGCCCATTTAGACAGAACCAGGGTGGAGTCCTACTCCTTCGATGCTAATGTCTCGCACTGTGACAACGCAGGGTGAGGGGAACACTGGATGGATGCTGTGAGATTTTTGATTATCCTACTACTGCGGCTTCAACTCATTTAAACCTGAATGGAGTGTGTGCCTGAAAAAAACTTGTGAAGCGTCATCGTAGAGTCATTATCAGAGTCATCATCAAAACAAATGACTGAGTTATTCTCTGTGGGAGAGCAACTGCTTTAGAGGGAAAAAGCCTTGTAGAGAATAGTATTATAAATAGTATTATATTTAGTGATTTGCTGAGAGAAGGAGTGACTGGGAGAGAGGGATTAGTGTTAGCGGAGGGAATGATTGAGAGAGCGAGAGAAAGAGATTGTGTTAGAGAGGGGAACACAATTGAGTTTGGCCTGCAAGTTTTCCTGGGGGGGGGGGTGGATGGGTGGAGAACTCTGGTTTTATAAATCTATTTAGGCCATTTCTTCTGACTGAAAGTCACATGCGGAGATCATCCGTTCACCTACTCTACGTCTCACAAAGACACAGCGGTTGGAACCAAAAATCTCAAATTTGGACTCATCAGACCAAAGGACAGATTTCCACCAGTCTAATGTCCATTGTTCGTGTTTCTTGGCCCAAGCAAGTCTCTTCTTCTTATTGGTGTCCTTTAGTAATGGTTTCTTTGCAGCAATTTGACCACGAAGGCCTGATTCACGCAGTCTCCTCTGAACAGTTGATGTTGAGATGTGTCTGTTACTTGAACTCTGTGAAGCATTTATTTGGGCTTCAATCTGAGGTGCAGTTAACCCGCCTCCCCCTCCTCTCAGGTTGCCTCTCGCCAAGCGGTCGTTGATCAGCACCCACTGCAGGACCCACAGTTCCCACGGTAACCTGTCTCAAATGTCCGCCACCTCTGGAGACTTCCTGGGGACTGACGAGGTGGACAGCCCGGTCCCCACACGGCCCGCCAACAGCAGCACCGACATCCAAGGTAGCCTAGTTGAAGAACCTACTGGTAGCCGGGTCGTTTTGGGGTTTTTCTGATGACTGTTGATCCTGTCATTCAGGTTAAAAGGGAAAAGCTTAGCGATCATTACTCAGATCAGTTTAGATCACAATAGACTACAGCTAATTATCTCCCCGAAACACACTGAGTAAACAACCTGGCATTCTTCCTTTCTTATGCATGCGGATTATAATAAAATAATAATAATAAATAATTGGTCATTTAGCAGACGCTCTTATCCAGAGCGACTTACAGGAGCAATTAGGGTTAAGTGCCTTGCTCAAGGTCACATCCGACAGATTTTTCACCTAGTCGGCTCGGGGATTAGAACCAGCGACCTTTCGGTTACTGGTACAACGCTCTTAACCACTGAGCTACCAGCCGTATTGGTCTGGCCTAACTGATGTACTTGGTATATGTGGCTCTGAGCCTGATAACGTTGTTTTCATAGATGTGAAAAGGCTACATTGTGTGTGTGTGTGTGTCTGGAAGCATCCAGGTTGATCCAGTGCTCTGAGATTATCCCTGTCCTCGTCTGACTGTCTGTCATTCAGGGAAAATACACTTTCAGCTCTTTCAGATCAGCTCATATTAACATCGCTATTGATGATGACACGTCTCACTGGCAGGAAGAATTAGGACTTCACCCCAAAGACAGTACAGTATCAAGACAGGCTAAAATCCCGGATCACATTTGTAGGTGATGTCATGGCTAGCTGTGAAACACGTCATGGGGTCTAACGGTCGACTCTGCGCCGAACTGCGCATGTGCAGGCCGTCAAATCAAAGGCACTCCTTCGATATAGAGTTGTTTTTGACGAAAAAGGAAACTCACTTTCATGAGGTTGTAGTAATAACATGTTCAAATACTTAAGATATTGGCTCAAATCGAGGTTGTGACTTTTAGATTTTCGAGAAAATTAACAACTAAGGAATAATTTTTTACTTCTCTCATTGACTTCTCAAACCCCAAATCCCAGCCTGGTCTGTTTCGTAAAGCATTCCTGGAAGTTTCGCGATGTTGTGCCTCTGGGTTTAGAAACTCTATGACTTGACCTCAAGTAGTTTTTATTGTACGCATCATTTCACCATGTCATAATCTGTGTTAGAGTTAAATTACTATCTCAGTTTTGTAATCTCTGTCTGTTTCATATCCAGGTCCTCATAGTCATTGAGAAGAAAATCACATTTTGAATGTTAAATTCATGCTTTCATAATCAACCCATTCATGATACGTTGTTGTTGTTGTTGTTGTTTGTATTCTTTGTAAAGAGGTCTATGGAATACTATTGTTCTTTTGTGATTCTCAAGTGTTTCCATGTGAACCACTTGATACTAAATGAATGTGCTCCTCTTTCCCACATAACCCACTCATTATGCCTTTATCAATGAGGAAACCGTTAACTATCTAGTCCACTCTGTGGATACTTTGGTTGGTTACTGAATTTCTATGACAAAATTTGCATAAGATTAATTACTAGTCTTAATTTTTTCAAATGTTTTGATTAAATATAAAAGAAACATGCATTAACAACACAAAACTAATCAAATTTCAGTATTCTACCATTGGAATAGATCAATACTTATACATGAGTCAGAAGTGCAATTCTGACTTCTGACGTAACACTTCTGTTAGTAACACGTCTGACAGTAACACGTCTGACAGTAACACGTCTGACAGTAACACGTCTGACAGTAACACGTCTGACAGTAACACGTCTGACAGTAACACTTCTGACCGTAACAAATGACATGACTATTCCCTTTTGTGTGTTCCAGCTCTGAGGTTCCAGGGCCCGTTCCGAGCCTGGGGAACGGGTAGTCAGGGCGGGGGAATGTGCAGTGACTCAGAGAGCACCGGAGGCAGCAGCGAGTCCCGATCCATGGACTCCCCCACCGCCAGCCCAGGTAAAGCCCTGTCTACCCACCCTTCGTAGCCCATGGCCCTATCTCCACACAACCTACACTACACTACTCTGTGCAGGTCAGGGCTCTGTGCAGGTCAGGGCTCTGTGCAGGCCAGTCAAGTTCTTCCACACTGATCAACTCAACTAACCATTTCTGTATGGACCTCGCTTTGTGCACGGGGTCATTGTCATGCTGAAACAGGAAAGGGCCTTCCCCAAACTGTTGCCGCAAAGTTGGAAGCACTGAATTGTCTAGAATGTCATTGTATGCTGTAGCGTTAAGGTAAGGGGCCTAGCCCGAACCATGAAAAACAGCCACAGACCATTATTCCTCCTCCACCAAACTTTACAGTTGGCACTATGCACTGGGGCAGGTAACGTTCTCCTGGCATCTGCCAAACCCAGATTCGTCCGTCGGACTGCCAGATGGTGAAGCGTGATTCATCACTCCAGAGAACGCGTTTCCACTGCTCCAGTGTCCAATGGCGGCGAGCTTTACACCCCTCCAACCGACGCATGGCATTGCACATGGTGATCTTAGGCTTGTGTGCGGCTGCTCGGCCACGGAAACGCATTTCATGAAGTTCCCGACGAACAGTTCTTGTGCTGACGTTGCTTCCAGAAGAACTCAGTAGTAAGTGTTGCAACCGAGGACAGATTATTTTTATGTGCTCTGTGCTTCAGCACTCGGCGGTCCCGTTCTGGGGAGCTTGTATGGCCTACCACTTCGCGGCTGAGCCGTTGTTGCTCCTAGATGTTTCCACTTCACAATAACAGGACTTAGGTCCAAAAGGCTCCTTAACAGCTTCTACCCCCAAGCCAGAAGACTGCTGAACAATTCATGAAATGGCCACCCGGACTATTTGCGTTGCCCCCCCCCCCCACCCCCCTTTGTTTTTACACTGCTGCTACCCGCTGTTTATTATCTATGTATAGTCACTTTACCCCTACCTACATGTACAAATTACCTCGACTAACCTGTGCCCCCCCATATTGACTCGGTGCCGGTACCCCCTGTATATAGCCTTGGTGCCGGTACCCCCTGTATATAGCCTTGGTACCGGTACCCCCTGTATATAGCCTTGGTGCCGGTACCCCCTGTATATAGCCTTGGTGCCGGTACCCCCTGTATATAGCCTTGGTGCCGTAACCCCCCCCTGTATATAGCCTTGGTGCCGGTACCCCCTGTATATAGCCTTGGTGCCGGTACCCCCTGTATATAGCCTTGGTGCCGGTCCCCCTGTATATAGCCTTGGTGCCGTACCCCGCTGTATATAGCCTTGGTGCCGGTACCCCCTGTATATAGCCTCGGTGCCGGTACCCCCTGTATATAGCCTGGTACCGGTACCCCCTGTATATAGCCTTGGTGCCGGTACCCCTGCATATAGCCTTGGTGCCGGTACCCCCTGTATATAGCCTTGGTGCCGGTACCCCTGTATATAGCCTTGGTGCCGGTACCCCCTGTATATAGCCTTGGTGCCGGTACCCCCTGTATATAGCCTTGGTGCCGGTACCCCCTGTATATAGCCTTGGTGCCGGTACCCCCTGTATATAGCCTTGTGCCGGTACCCCTGTATATACCTTGGTGCCGGTACCCCCTGTATATAGCCTGGTGCCGGTACCCCCTGTATATAGCCTTGGTACCGGTACCCCCTGTATATAGCCTTGGTGCCGGTACCCCCTGTATATAGCCTTGGTGCCGGTACCCCCTGTATATAGCCTCGGTGCCGGTACCCCCTGTATATAGCCTTGGTACCGGTACCCCCTGTATATAGACTCGGTACCGGTACCCCCTGTATATAGCCTTGGTACCGGTACCCCCTGTATATAGACTCGGTACCGGTACCCCCTGTATATAGCCTTGGTGCCGGTACCCCCTGTATATAGCCTTGGTGCCGGTACCCCCTGTATATAGCCTTGGTGCCGGTACCCCCTGTATATAGCCTTGGTGCCGGTACCCCCTGTATATAGCCTTGGTGCCGGTACCCCCTGTATATAGCCTTGGTACCGGTACCCCCTGTATATAGACTCGGTGCCGGTACCCCCTGTATATAGCCTTGGTGCCGGTACCCCCTGTATATAGCCTTGGTGCCGGTACCCCCTGTATATAGCCTCGTTATTGTTATTTTATTGTTACTTTTTATTATTTTTTACTTTAGTTTATTTAGTAAATATTTTCTTAACTCTTTCTTGAACTGCATTGTTGGTTAAGGGCTTGTAAGTAAGCATTTCACGGTAATGTTGTATTCGGCGCATGTGACAAATATTTTATTTTATTTTATTTTATTTCACTTACAGTTGACCTGGGCAGCTCCAGCAGGGCCGAAATGTGACAATCTGACTTGTTGGAAAGGTGGCATCCTATGACGGTGCCATGTTGAAAGTCACTGAGCCAATGTTTGTTTATGGAGATTGCACGGCTGTGTGCTAGATTTTATACACCTGTCAGCAACGGGTGTGGCTGAAATTGCCGAATCCACTAATTTGAAGGGGTGTCCACATACTTTTGTATATATAGTGTATGTGCCATCGCTTCTACCTGTTAGCTTGGCAGGACCAACCACTACCACCCCCTGTCTTCTACCTGTTAGCTTGGCAGGACCAACCACTACCATCCCCTGTCTTCTACCTGTTAGCTTGGCAGGACCAACCACTACCACCCCCTGTCTTCTACCTGTTAGCTTGGCAGGACCAACCACTACCACCCCCTGTCTTCTACCTGTTAGCTTGGCAGGACCAACCACTACCACCCCCTGTCTTCTACCTGTTAGCTTGGCAGGACCAACCACTACCTCCCCGTTACCTTTAATCACCTGTTGAAAGGAAATTATTGATGGTTCTTATTATGTCATAGCAGCCACCCTCATAGACGTGACACAGAGACAGACAGACAGACAGACGGACAGACGGACAGATGGACAGCAGGAGCATGCCTGAGTCCTGATGGTGTGTCTATAATACCCTTGAAGGACATCTGAGCTACGGACAGGCTAAAGTAAAGGAATGTTCAGTAGGTTTAACAGTGACATTTTCTGGAGTTTTGTGTTATTCTGGTCGGTGTTCAACCATGTGTTGTATTCTGTGGATTATGTAACATGCTGAAGTCTGTTTGGTTTTCATTACCTGTTGTGATAGGTTTCCTTTAAATGAATTATAGTGTTGCAGTTTCTCTCGTGTTGTAATCATACACAACAACAGTTCCTGAGTGAGATGTTTTATTTAACTAGTTACAATTAACTTCATTGGATTTTAAGCAATCTGACTCGTTAGCACCTTTTGGACTCATACAAATCTAGAACGATTGGAATGAGTGTTTGCAATCTAGCCAGTCAGTTCATTCCTCTATTCCCAAAGTGCCCCAATGTCTGGAGAAATGTGGGGAATGTGCCCTATCACTGAGATAAGTCTCTTGTCCAGGCCATTATCAGAACAATAAGGGAATCAAGCAGAGGAATTGATCAGTGAATGGAGGTATGAATCACCCAGAACGTCTTGTGAGTGGTCCCTTGCTGGTCTCCTGACCTTTCGCCATTGGAGGGCCCAGGGGTGCCACGCCCCTCAATCTCAACCATGTCTTATAATAAGTAGACTCTTTGCCAGTCACTCAGTTCATAACGATCAAGGCTTGAAGCTGTGGATAAAGAGGAACAGATGCTCTGAGACCAAGGATCTAGTACCATCACTAGACCAGGCCTCAGTTAGACAGTGGACAGTAGTACTGAGTAGCTACACAGTAGTATTGACAAGATACTATGAGGATCTTTTGTGTGTTCACTGCCTCCTGCTCAGGTGACTTCAAGAGGAGATTACCCAGAACCCCCTCCACGGGGACCATGTCGTCAGCTGATGACATGGACGAGAGAGAACCGTCCTCGCCGTCAGACAACGGTGAGTCAGATAGTTCATTCATTTGATACGGTGCTATATGTTTGCTTTGGATAAGTATGTTGTAACACTTTCCATGTCAATAAAGTTTATTGAATTTGAATTTGAGTTCAGAGAAAGTGTGTTTGTGTGTGTGTGTGTGTGTGTGTGTGTGTGTGTGTGTGTGTGGTAAAACCGTTGCTAATGCTTGAAATGTCATAAGAGTATATTGTAACAGTTCAGAATGTGTTATGAAAGTGTCAGTTGGAGCAATAATCTCTTCAGCAGCAATACACAGGTAGCTAGAGCACTAGGCCAGTAACCTAAATGTTGCTCCTTTGAATCCCTGAGCCGACAAGGTGAAAGAGAACTGTCTATGTGCCCTTGAGCTAGGCACTTAACCCTAATTGTTCCAGGGTTGCCATTGATAATGGCAGACCCTGGCCGTGACCCCAGTCTCAGGGGGAGTTGGGATATGCAAAAAAAAAACATTTCCAATTGAAATAGGACAAATATAAGCAACAATATTATTATTATAAGTACACTGACTGAGCAAAACAAGGTTTGGAATAACAACAGAACATACACTACATAGTCAAATGTATGTGGACACCTGCTCGTCGAACATCTCATTCCAACATCATGGGCATTAATATGGAGTTGGTCCCCCATTTACTGCTATAACAGCCTCCACTCTTCTGGGAAGGCTTTCCACTAGATGTTGGAAGATTTCAGCGAGGACTTGCTTCCATTCAGCCACAAGAGCATTAGTGAGGTCGGGCACTGATGTTGGGCGATAAGGTGTTCGATGGGGTTGAGGTCAGGGCTCTGTGCAGTCCAGTCAAGTTCTTCCACACCGATCTCAACAAACCATTTCTGTATGGACCTCGCTTTGTGCACAGGGGCATTGTCAAGCTGAAACAGGAAAGGGTTTTCTCCAAACTGTTGCCACAAAGTTGGAAGCACTGAATTGTCTAGAATGTCATTGTATGCTGTAGCGTAAAGATTTCCCTTCACTGGAACTAAGGGGTCCGAACTATGAAAAACAGCCCCAGACCATTATTCCTCCTCCACCAAACTTTACAGTTGGCACTATGCATTGGGGCAGGTAGTGTTCTCCTGGCATCCGCCAAACCCAGATGTGTCTGTCGGACTGCCAGATGGTGAAGCGTGATTCATCACTCCAGAGAACGTGTTTCCACTGCTCCAGAGTCCAAAGGCACCGAGTTTTACACCACTCCAGCTGAGCTTGGCATTGCGCATCGTGCTCTTAGGCTTGTGTGTGGCTGCTCGGCCATGGAAACCCATTTCATGAAGCTCCCGACAGTTATTGTGCTGACATTGCTTCCAGAAGCAGTTTGGAACTTGGTAGTGAGTGTTGCAACCGAGGACAGATTTATTTTTATGCGCTACACACTTCAGCACTCTGCGGTTCCGTTCTGTGTGCTTGTGTGACCTACGACTTTGTGGATGGGCCGTTGTTGCTCCTAGACGTTTCCACTTCACAATAACAGCTCTTACAGTTGACCTGGGCAGCTCTAGCAGGGCAGAAATTCTACGAACTGACTTGTTGGAAAGGTGGCATCCTATGACAGTGCCACATTGAAAGTTACTGAGGTCTTCAGGAAGGCCATTCTACTGCCAATGTTTCTCTATGAAGATTGCATGGCTGTGTGCTCGATTTTTATACACGTGTCAGCAACGGTTGTGGCTGAAATAGCCGAATCCACTAAGTTGAAGGGGTGTACACATACTTTTGTATATAGAGAGATTCAGAGATTGGTACACTATCTCTCTCTCTCTCTCTGTTTCTCTGTGTCTGTGTCTCTCTCTCTCTCTGTGTCTCTGTGTCTCTGTGTCTCTGTCTCTGTGTCTCTGTCTCGTCTCCCAAGGTCTGGGTGAGATGGTGACAGAGACAGCCAGTTCCCCAGGTCCGTTCCGTGACATCCAGATGTCCAAGGCAGCCCAGACTCACAAGCTGAGGAAGCTGAGGGCCCTGTCCAAGTGCAGAGAGTGTGATAGTCTGGTGGTCTTCTATGGTGCTGAATGTGAGGAGGTGAGTACTCTGTCCAACAGTGGTTCTCAATCTGGGGTACTTTACCCCTGGAAGTACCTGGCCTATCCACAGCGGGGATGGAAGTACCTGTCCTATCCACAGCGGGATGGAAGTATCTGTCCTATCCACAAAGGGGATGGAAGTACCTGTCCTATCCACAGAGGGGATGGAAGTATCTGTCCTATCCACAGAGGGGATGGAAGTATCTGTCCTATCCACAGAGGGGATGGAAGTACCTGTCCTATCCACAGAGGGGATGGAAGTACCTGTCCTATCCACAGAGGGGATGGAAGTATCTGTCCTATCCACAGAGGGGATGGAAGTACCTGTCCTATCCACAGCGGGATGGAAGTACCTGTCCTATCCACAGAGGGGATGGAAGTACCTGTCCTATCCACAGCGGGGATGGAAGTACCTGGCCTATCCACAGCGGGGATGGAAGTACCTGTCCTATCCACAGAGGGGATGGAAGTACCTGTCCTATCCACAGAGGGGATGGAAGTACCTGTCCTATCCACAGAGGGGATGGAAGTACCTGGCCTATCCACAGAGGGGATGGAAGTACCTGGCCTATCCACAGAGGGGATGGAAGTACCTGTCCTATCCACAGAGGGGATGGAAGTACCTGTCCTATCCACAGCGGGGAATTGGAAAGACTCATAAGAACATAGGCATACTGATCAGTTGCACATTAGGGGGTACTTCAGGTAGAGCAAAATGTGATTGGGGTACAGTAAGTAAATGTGATTGGGGTACAGTAAATAAATGTGATTGGGGACAGTAAATAAATGTGATTGGGGGGATGGTAAGTTAATGAGATTGGGGGGACAGTGAGTAAATGTGATTGGGGTACAGTAAGTAAATGTGATTGGGGTACAGTAGGTAAATGTGATTGGGGGACAGTAAATACATGTATTTGGGGTTAGTATGTTAATGTGATTGGGGGGGACAGTAGGTAAATGTGATTGGGGGGACAGTAAATACATGTGATTGGGGGTACAGTAAGTTAATGTGATTGGGGGGACAGTAGGTAAATGTGATTGGGGGTACAGTAGGTAAATGTGATTGGGGGGACAGTAGGTAAATGTATTTGGGGTTAGTAAGTTAATGTGATTGGGGGGACAGTAGGTAAATGTGATTGGGGGTACAGTAGGTAAATGTGATTGGGGGGACAGTAGGTAAATGTATTTGGGGTTAGTAAGTTAATGTGATTGGGGGGACAGTAGGTAAATGTGATTGGGGGTACAGTAGGTAAATGTGATTGGGGGGTACAGTAGGTAAATGTGATTGGGGGGACAGTAGGTAAATGTGATTGGGGAGACAGTAGGTAAATGTGATTGGGGGACAGTAAATAAATGTATTTGGGGTTAGTAAGTTAATGTGATTGGGGGGACAGTAGGTAAATGTGATTGGGGGGACAGTAGGTAAATGTGATTGGGGGGACAGTAGGTAAATGTGATTGGGGGGACAGTAAATAACTAAAACATGTTGAGAAGCACTGTTCTAGAAGTCCCAAAAGGAAAAAGTCTGCAGACCACAGGGAGCCACCCAGACACTGAGAGTCCACAGACTGCCATCATCCAGTACTGGATATTTTGGATTCATTAAAAGGGGACCTTTTGTTACCCTCTGGGTGCCTGTACTGTCCTCTCACTAGAATGTTCTCTTAGCTCTGCTTATTTTAGATGGAGTTACATTACATATTTATGGAAACATTGAGATAATGGAACAGGGCAGGAAAGATGGTTACTTGAGGGGAATGGTTATTCAGATGATTATGTAACGCTGTGGTCCTGTGTGGCACTGTGAGAGCGTGGCGCTAGCAATGCCAAAGTCGTGGGTTCAGTTCCCACTGGGATAACACACACTCACTGTACTGTCGGTCACTTTGGATAAAAGCATCTGCTAAGTGGCATATATACAGTAGTGTTGCTAGCTGACATGGATGTTAACTATCGGACTCCTCTGCTGTTTCCCAGTGCTTCCTGGCCTGCCATAAGAAGTGTCTGGAGACCCTGGCCATCCAGTGTGGTCATAAGAAACTGCAGGGTAGACTGCACCTCTTTGGTATTGACTTCACCCAAGCAGCTAGGAACAACCCAGATGGAATCCCTTTCATAATCAGGAAGTGTACCTCGGAGATAGAGAATAGAGCGTTGGACATCAAGGTAACATAATGCTAGCATTTTCAAGTAACATTATATAGCCTAGCTTGTTTGGCAAATGATCTATTGTTTTCAATGTCACCCAGATGTGCTTTGAATTGAAGACGTCCTGTTTTTGAAGGGAAATAATGCTTGTTAGGAGAATAAAATTGCCCAAATCTGAGCTGCTGTGTTGTGTCTTGATTGTCCAGGGGATCTACCGTGTGAACGGGGCCAAGTCTCGTGTGGAGAAGCTCTGTCAGGTATTTGAGAACGGCAAGGACCTCGTGGAGCTATCTGACCTTTACCCCCATGACATCAGCAACGTGCTCAAACTCTACCTGAGACAGGTGGGTCACACACACAGAATTCTCCAGGACAAGGTAGTTGCTATCCAGAACCTTAAAGGGTTATTCGGCTGTCCCCATAGGAGAACTCTTTTTGGTTCTAGGTAGAACCCTTTTTGGTTCTAGGTAGAACCCTTTTTGGTTCTAGGTAGAACCAAAAAGGGTTCTACCTGTAACCAAAAAGTGTTCTCCTATGGGGACAGCCGAATAACCCTTTTGAAACCCTTGTTTCTAAGAGTGGACTGACAGACTGCACACTAGCCCAATAATATTGACTTATCTTCCTTGTTTTCATTCAATACTAGTTTATAGATTCTCTCTTTGTCTCCAGTCCTGTCTGTTGTATATTTATTTATATATATTCATTTATATTTGTCTTCATATTTTTGTAATTCCAGTTTAAAATTAACTTCCTTGTTTATTTTCTCTCCCTGTAGCTTCCAGAGCCTCTCATCCTGTTCCGTTTCTACAATGACTTCATCGGCCTGGCCAAGGAGAGCCAGAACATCATCGTGGATGAGGTGGAAGCGTCCAGGGACAGCCCCAGCTCCCTGACCCCGCCGCAGGTCAGCGTGGAGCTCAACCGGGTCCTCTTCAAGATCAAAGACCTCCTGAGACAGCTGCCCCCGGCCCACTACAAGACCCTGCAGTTCCTCATCCAACACCTGCACAGGTACGGAATCTATTCTGAGAATTTAGATGACAAGTGCTGCACAACTCTGACTATCACGTAAATAATGTATTAATGTCAATGGGAGACTTTGAGTTTAGTCAGTGGATCTGAAGGCAGAATACAACCCTATAAATATACATACACAGCTTAATGGCCCAGTGCAGTCAAACGTGATTTTCCTGTGATTTACAGTTGAAGTCGGAAGTTTACATCAGGATCACCACTTTATTTTAAGAATGTGAAATGTCAGAATAATAGCAGAGAGAATGATTTATTTCAGCTTTTATTTCTTTCATCACATTCCCAGTTGGTCAGAAGTTTACATACAATCAATTAGTATTTGGTAGTATTGCCTTTAAATTGTTTAACTTGGGTCAAACGTTTCGGGTAGCCTTCCACAAGCTTCCCACAATAAGTTGGGTGAATTTTGGCCCATTCCTCCTGACAGAGATGGTGTAATTGAGTCAGGTTTGTAGGCCTCCTTGCTCGCACACACTTTTTCATTTGTGCCCACAAATTTTCTATAGGATTGAGGTCAGGGCTTTGTGATGGCCACTCCAATACCTTGACTTTGTTGTCCTTAAGCCATTTTGTCACAACTTTGGAAGTATGCTTGGGGTCATTGTCCATTTGGAAAACACATTTGCGACCAAGCTTTAACTTCCTGACTGATGTCTTGAGATGTTGCTTCAATATATCCACATTATTTCCCTTCCTCATGATGCCATCTATTTTGTGAAGTGCACCAGTCCCTCCTGCAGCAAAGTACCCCCACAGCATGATGCTGCCACCCCCGTGCTTCACAGTTGGGATGGTGTTCTTCGGCTTGCAAGTGGTCCCCTTTTTCCTCCAAACATAACAATGGTCATTATGGCCAAACAGTTCTATTTTTGTTTCATCAGACCAGAGGACATTTCTCCAAAAAGTACGATCATTGTCCCCATGTGCAGTTGCAAACCGTAGTCTGGCTTTTTTATGGCGGTTTTGGAGCAGTGGCTTCTTCCTTGCTGAGCGGCCTTTCAGGTTATGTCGATATAGGACTCGTTTTACTGTGGATATAGATACTTTTGTACCTGTTTCCTCCAGCATCTTCACAAGGTCCTTTGCTGTTGTTCTGGGATTGATTTGCACTTTTCGCACCAAAGTACAATCTCTAGGAGACAGAATGCGTCTCCTTCCTGAGTGGTATGACGGCTGCGTGGTCCCATGGTGTTTATACTTGCGTAGTATTGTTTGTACAGATGAACGTGGTACCTTCAGGCGTTTGGAAATTGCTCCCAAGGATGAACCAGACTTGTGGAGGTCTACCATTTTTTTCTGAGGTCTTGGCTGATTTCTTTTGATTTTCCCATGATGTCAAGCAAAGAGGCACTGAGTTTGAAGGTAGACCTTTAAATACAGTGGGGAAAAAAAGTATTTAGTCAGCCACCAATTGTGCAAGTTCTCCCACTTAAAAAGATGAGAGGCCTGTCATTTTCATCATAGGTACACGTCAACTATGACAGACAAATTGAGAAAAAAAAATCCTGAAAATCACATTGTAGGATTTTTAATGAATTTATTTGCAAATTATGGTGGAAAATAAGTATTTGGTCACCTACAAACAAGCAAGATTTCTGGCTCTCACAGACCTGTAACTTCTTATTTAAGAGGCTCCTCTGTCCTCCACTCGTTACCTGTATTAATGGCACCTGTTTGAACTTGTTATCAGTATAAAAGACACCTGTCCACAACCTCAAACAGTCACACTCCAAACTCCACTATGGCCAAGACCAAAGAGCTGTCAAAGGACACCAGAAACAAAATTGTAGACCTGCACCAGGCTGGGAAGACTGAATCTGCAATAGGTAAGCAGCTTGGTTTGAAGAAATCAACTGTGAGAGCAATTATTAGGAAATGGAAGACAAACAAGACCACTGATAATCTCCCTCGATCTGGGGCTCCATGCAAGATCTCACCCCGTGGGGTCAAAATGATCACAAGAACGGTGAGCAAAAATCCCAGAACCACACAGGGGGACCTAGTGAATGACCTGCAGAGAGCTGGGACCAAAGTAACAAAGCCTACCATCAGTAACACACTACACCGCCAGGGACTCAAATCCTGCAGTGCGAGACGTGTCCCCCTGCTTAAGCCAGTACATGTCCAGGCCCGTCTGAAGTTTCCTAGAGTGCATTTGGATGATCCAGAAGAGAATTGGGAGAATGTCATATGGTCAGATGAAACCAAAATAGAACTTTTTGGTAAAAACTCAACTCGTCGTGTTTGGAGGACAAAGAATGCTGAGTTGCATCCAAAGAACACCATACCTACTGTGAAGCATGGGAGTGGAAACATCATGCTTTGGGGCTGTTTTTCTGCAAAGGGACCAGGACGACTGATCCGTGTAAAGGAAAGAATGAATGGGGCCATATATCATGAGATTTTGAGTGAAAACCTCCTTCCATCAGCAAGGGCATTGAAGATGAAACATGGCTGGGTCTTTCAGCATGACAATGATCCCAAACACACCGCCCGGGCAACGAAGGAGTGGATTCGTAAGAAGCATTTCAAGGTCCTGGAGTGGCCTAGCCAGTCTCCAGATCTCAACCCCATAGAAAATCTTTGGAGGGAGTTGAAAGTCTGTGTTGCCCAGCGACATCCCCAAAACATCACTGCTCTAGAGGAGATCTGCATGGAGGAATGGGCCAAAATACCAGCAACAGTGTGTGAAAACCTTGTGAAGACTTACAGAAATCGTTTGACCTGTGTCATTGCCAACAAAGGGTATATAACAAAGTATTGAGAAACTTTTGTTATTGACCAATTACTTATTTTCCACCATAATTTGCAAATAAATTCATAAAAAATCCTACAATGTGATTTTCTTGATTTTTTTTTTCTCATTTTGTCTGTCATAGTTGACGTGTACCTATGATGAAGATTACAGGCCTCTCTCATCTTTTTAAGTGGGAGAACTTGCACAATTGGTGACTGACTAAATACTTTTTTTCCCCACTGTACATCCACAGGTACACCTCCAATTGACTCAAATTATGTCAATTAGCATATCAGAAGCTTCTAAAGCCATGACATCATTTTCTGGAATTTTCCAAGCTGTTTAAAGGCACAGTCAACTTAGTGTATGTAAACTTCTGACCCATTGGAATTGTGATACAGTAAATTATAAGTGAAATAATCTGTCTATAAACAATTGTTGGAAAAATTATTTGTGTCATGCACAAAGTAGATGTCCTAACCAACTTGCCAAAACTATAGTTTGTTAACAAGAAATTTGTGGAGTGGTTGAAAAACGAGTTTTAATGACTCAAACCTAAGTGTATTTAAACTTCCGACTATAACTGTGTATATATATATATATATATATATAGTGGATTCCGAAAGTATTCAGACCCATTTACTTTTTCCACATTTTGTTATGTTACAACCTTATTCTAAAATTGATTTTTGTTTATGTGCTTCTATACACAATACCCCATAATGACAAAGCAAAATCAGGTTTGTAGCTAAAAAATAAAATGAAATATTACATTTACGTAAGTACTCAGTACTTTGTTGAAGCACCTTTGGCAGCAATTATAGCCTTGAGCCTTCTTGTGTATGATGCTACAAGCTTAGCACACCTGTATTTGGGGAGTTTCTCTCATTCCTCTCCGTATTTCCACACTATGTGGTTGGAATTATACTGTGAAATTGTGAAAATGATGGTAATGCCCTTTTAGTGTAAGAGCTGTTTGAAAAGACCGCCTGAAATTTCAGCCTGTTTTGGTGGGATGGAGCTTTGGCCTGCGTAGTGACATCACCAGGTGATAAATTAGTTAATAGACCAATAAGAGAGCTCCAAACCTCTCTGCCAATAACAGCTAGTTTTCAGTTTTCCCCTCCCCACTCAGACCACTCCCAGACAGTCATAGCAAAATTCTTGTTTTGAGAAATTGCTCTTTGCTAAGAAGCTATTTTTGTTTCTTTTTACAATTTTAATTTAATACAATCACAGTAAGGTACTTAATTGTTACCCAGAAATGTTTTGACATTGAGATAAAAAACGTCTGCACTGGACCTTTTAAAGAGCGACTGAACACACCAATTGGCAGTGTGTTTTTTTCTGATGCTCATTAGAAAAACAAGATTTCAGTCTCGGATGTGTGTTTCCTGATCGATTCTGCATTTGCTTATTAATGATGTTTGTCCCCCATGAGACACTGTAGACGCGGAAGACTATTTCACTTCCTCAAAATCCCCAGAATGAATCTAATATAACTCAAGAAATCTGTAAAATTATTTTGATGTTTTAGTTGAGCCATGTTACATCTAACTCGGGTGTTTGGTGCAGTATTTCTCAAGAAAAAAAAATGTGTGACGTGTTGTCTTATGTATATCTCACTTTATGCTGTTCATTTACCCATTGTGACGCACGGATGTTCCAATCTCCGTTTTAGACGAGACTGACTTTATGACCAAAATTATCCTATTTACACTTTGTAGTCATTTTTGACACTAGAATACATGTTTCTGACTCATATCGATGCCACAAAGGCCATTTTCAGAGAGATTTGTTACTTTTTAAGGGCATTCGCACTTTACAACACACATCCCACAAAGTAACAACAACAAACTGGAACAGCAGTAACAATGAACCAGAAGTCCAGCTCCATACGTCATCCTTCCTGTCCCGTGTAGGGTGACCGAGCAGGCGGAGGAGAACAAGATGACAGCCAGTAACCTGGGCATCATCTTCGGCCCCACGCTCATCAAACCCAGACAGACGGACGCCGAGGTGTCCCTGTCCTCCCTGGTGGACTACCCCTACCAGGCCCTCATCGTGGAGCTCCTCATCAGACACTATCAGATGATCTTTGATGCCCCCGTCAGCCCCCTGCCATGGCCCCAGGGCCCCCCAGTCCCCTCTGAGGAGGGCTTCCCCTTGGAGGATCAGGACCCTCACCCCCGCCTCACCCCTCAGGAGAAGCAGCTCAGCAGACAGTCTCTGGTAGACATGAAGGAGGTGAGTGACTTATTAAAATGGAACTGAATAGAAATATGATAAACCTATGTTATGGATCTAGCTTCTACTGATGAACAGTGATGACTCTCTTCTCTCTCTCTCTCTCCTTTGTGTTTCTCTCTCTCTCTCTCTCTCTCTCTCTCTCTCTCTCTCTCTCCTTTGTGTTTTCTCTCTCTCTCTCTCTCTCTCTCTCTCTCTCTCTCTCTCTCTCTCTCTCTCTCTCTCTCTCTCTCTGTCCCTCTGTTTCCTGTCCCCTGTCCATTGCAGCAGAGCTGTAAATTGTTTAAGTGTCATTCCTCTATAGTCCCCTCCAACAATGCAATGGAGGAGGTCAGAGATGGGAACCCCAGGTCTGATGGGAGGGACTCTACCCCTGGTCAGTATTACTCCACTATAACTGGACACCAATAGTACACTGTTCACGTCCTGAACTTTATTACTGACTGATCCTCTCTGTACTCTGTAGTGGTAGACGAGGACTTAGAGCAACTCAACGGGCTCCTGTCTGGCAGCGTCCCTGAGGTCCAGAGAGCAGGGGGAGAGAGGGGGATGGGGGAAAGGGGTCTCACCCGGGCCCACCACACCACCTCCCGGGTCCATCTCCGCCACCCCCGCTCCAAACTGGTCTCTCGGCCTTCCGAACGGCCCCTGAACCCGGCCCGAGGCGTGGATGAGAGGAACGCCAGGAACACCGCTGAGCAAGACGACGGGAAAGGTACCGGGAGCGCCAGGAGCATTACGCGGGACCAGTCGATCGGGGAGGAGTCGGAGGATGAGAAGCCAAAGTCGAGGGCGAACCAGCCTCTACCGGAGCGCGTTCATCGACACGGGGACCTGGGACAGGCAGTACAAGCATTATGACATCACCCCCAGGACAGCTAAGATCAACCTGTCTACAGCGGACGAGTTGGCCAAGGACTCGACCAGAAGCCTCGCCACATCTGTACCATCATCCTCTTCCTTCAACTCCTTCGGGAGTGGTGGCTGCACCATCGCGGTGTGGCCGGGCAGGACTCTGAGAAGGGAGGAGAACGTGTGGGAGTACAGCCAAGAGCCCACTGTGTTCAGACCCCCCCCGACTCTACAGCCACCCCCTGGAACCTTCTACAATCCCCCCACGGGGAGCAAGGCCAATGCGCTAGGGGACGCGGGGCTGAAGAAGAACGTCACAGTAGCTACCAGCGCTGAGGAGGAAGAAGAGGACGATGATGGAGAAGAGATGGGTCTGGAGGTCTCTGAGGCTCCACAGCAGGCCCTGTCCCTGCCCCAGTCCCCCAGCTCCAGCCCTGAGAACCTCAGTCAGGAGGCCAAGCCCGTGTACCAGAGACTACGGCCCAGACGCTTGCAGGAGTTGGAGCACCGCGAGGCGCATCTTGTATGACCATCTCTAGCGCATTTCACTCACTGGACGTCATTACAATTCATCAAGTCATCTTTCTTCTGTGACTTGGATTTAAATGATCAAATCTGTATAATATGTGCCATATTGTGTAAGAAAACAACACTAAATAATTTCATGAACTGTGAAAGAAATGTCCCATGGAAGTGTTATATACACCTGTGGAAAAAATTAAGAGACCACTGCAAATTGTTATTAAATCAGCATCTCTACATGTATGACAGCCATTCCATTCCAGTGTCTGTTGAATTCCAACACAGGCACACCTCATTCTACTGAATTAGGTACTGATTAGGTGATCACCTGAACCAAATCTTATTTAATGAGGAAAAGTAAAAAAAAAACACTGCTGTGGTCATCACTATCCTCTTGCCAATAGGACCAGCTGGATGGTAAAAACAGTGCTAATAGTACCTCAAAAGTAATATTAATAAAAAAATAACTATTGACCATGCCAAAAGAGTTGAAAAGGAACATTTTGAGTGAGGAAAATAAGGGTTCAATTCTGGCTTTACTGGCAGAGGGATACAGTGAGCGTCAGGTTGCTTCCATCCTTAAAATTTCAAAGACAGCGGTTCATAAGAACAAGGTCAAGCAGCAGACATTGGGCACAACAAAGCTACAGACCGGCAGAGGGCGAAAACGACTCTCTACTGACCGGGATGACCGCCAACTCATTCGAATGTCACTCAACAACCGTAGGATGACATCAAGTGACCTACAAAAAGAATGGCAAACGGCAGCTGGGGTGAAGTGCACGGCGAGGACAGTTCGAAACAGGCTCCTAGGGACAGGGCTAAAGTCGTGCAAAGCTAGAAAAAGCCCTTCATCAATGAGAAGCAAAGAAGAGCCAGGCTGAGGTTTGCAAAAGACCATAAGGATTGGACCATAGAGGACTTGGAGTAAGGTCATCTTCTCTGATGAGTCCAATTTTCAGCTTTGCCCAACACCTGGTCGTCTAATGGTTAGACGGAGACCTGGAGAGGCCTACAAGCCACAGTGTCTCGCACCCACTGTGAAATTTGGTGGAGGATCTGTGATGATCTGGGGGTGCTTCAGCAAGGCTGGAATCGGGCAGATTTGTCTTTGTGAAGGACGCATTAATCAAGCCACGTACAAGGTTGTCCTGGAAGAAAACTTGCTTCCTTTTGCTCTGACATTGTTCCCCAACTCTGAGGATTGTTTTTTCCAGCAGGACAATGCGCCATGCCACACAGCCAGGTCAATCAAGGTGTGGATGGAGGACCACCAGATCAAGACCCTGTCATGGCCAGCCCAAACTCCAGACCTGAACCCCATTTGAAAACTTCTGGAATGTGATCAAGAGGAAGATGGATGGTCACAATCCAGTATGAAAATGTATGCACTCACTAACTGTAAGTCGCTCTGGATAAGAGCGTCTGCTAAATGACTAAAATGTAAATGTAAAATGTCACAAGCCATTAAACAAAGCCGAGCTGCTTGAATTTTTGCGCCAGGAGTGGCATAAAGTCACCCAACATCAAGGTGAAAGACTGGTGGAGAGCATGCCAAGACGCATAAAATCTGTGATTGAAAATATTGATTTCTGAACTCTTCCTAAGTTAAAACATTACTATTGTGTTGTTTAAAAATGAACACGAACTTATTTTCTTTGCATTATTCGAGGTCTGACAACACTGCATCTTTTTTGTTATTTTGACCAGTTGTCATTTTCTGCAAATAAATGCTCTAAATGACAATATTTTTATTTGGAATTTGTTAGAAATGTTGTCAGTAGTTTAGAATAAAACAAAAATGTTATTTTTACCCAAACACATACCTATATATAGTAAAACCAGAGAAACTGATAATTTTATATTCGTATATTCCACGTTATCTGTTTTGGAGTTCCGCGTTATCTGTTTTGGAGTTCCGCGTTATCTGTTTTGGAGTTCCGCGTTATCTGTTTTGGAGTTCCGCGTTATCTGTTTTGGAGTTCCGCGTTATCTGTTTTGGAGTTCCGCGTTATCTGTTTTGGAGTTCCGCGTTATCTGTTTTGGAGTTCCGCGTTATCTGTTTTGGAGTTCCGCGTTATCTGTTTTGGAGTTCCGCGTTATCTGTTTTGGAGTTCCGTGTTATTTGTTTTGGAGTTCCGCGTTATCTGTTTTGGAGTTCCGCGTTATCTGTTTTGGAGTTCCGCGTTATCTGTTTTGGAGTTCCGCGTTATCTGTTTTGGAGTTCCGCGTTATCTGTTTTGGAGTTCCGCGTTATCTTAGTTAAATACACAACAATGTGTGTTATAAGTTACTATTCTAGGTTTCTCTGCTAAAGGTCTGTATAAAGAAAGCCACAGAATCAAAACATGCTTCTACGTAGTACCAATCACTCAAACTGTTAATGAAATAGTTCATTTCCCAAAAGTTAAATCCATGATTTGAGATTTTATGTACGCCATTTCTTACAAAATTGCTCAATACAAGGTAATGCCAGGACAGCATTTGTTTCTCTCTTTTAAACTGTGCAATTACTTTTTACTCAAAAGACGGCTGGGTCATTCCACGAAAAGACTGCCTTTTGCGTCCCTTTTGATATTTTAAGTAGAAATTGTGCACCGATATTTAATTTTAAAAGCCTGTTATATTAAATGTAGTGCCCTTTTTAATATAGACCACATGGAGAATTCAATAAATCTTAGACTTTGGATGTGAAATGATAGTGCAGACTGTCAGCTTTAATTTGAGGATATTTTCATCCATATTAGGTGAACCGTTTTAGAAATTACAGCACTTTTTGTACATAGTCCCCCCCCCCATTTTAGGGGACCAAAAGTATTGGGACAAATTAATTTATGTTTATTAAAGTAGTCATACGTTTTTAGTATTTGGTCCCATATTCCTAGCACGCAATGATTACATCAGGCTTGTGACTCTACAGATGTGTTGGATGCATTTGCTGTTTGTTTTGGTTGTGTTTCAGATTATTTTGTTCCCAATAGGAATGAACGGTAAATAATGGATTGTGTCATTGTTGGAGTCACTTTTATTGTAAATAAGAATAAAAAATATGTTTCGAAAAACACTTCTATATTAATGTGGATGCTATTACGGGTATTCCTGAACGAAAAAGTTACAGACGCAAAAATATCACACCCACAGGTGATGCTTTATCAAACCTTTAACTGCTTGTGTTTCTCCTTTTTAACGTGGATGAGTACCTGGTCTTTATCCGTGGCCTGACACTTAGGCATTGTACTGTAAATGGAACGTGTCTGGACGTAAGTCAATGGAGATGTGCTACAAACCTACACTTAAACCAAACATCAAAACCTTCTCCTTTTAATGCATTCATTCGGAAGGTATCAACTGAAAAGCGTTTAACAATATTATTAGATGTCAGTCAGGTAGTTTCTTGCCTATCGTAATGTTATGATGTTCTCTTGTTGAAAGTGCTATTCAGTTCAGTCCGCTGTTTTAATCCTATCTATTATACTCTCACTTTGTACAGACTATAATTACCAGTAAGTGCGTCATTCATGTCAATGGTATATCTGTCTATATTTTATAAATATTATCAACAAGGGTGTCTTTGCAGATTGTCTCCAATGTATTGAATCCCTTTCAGTACATGGGAACATACACATTTTACGCCTTTAAAAAAAAAACTTATTAAAATATAGTTGACAACTTCCAAACATGTTTCTGTAATCGTTTGTGATCCCACACCTACAGCTTGTCGATAAACCAGGAATGTGAATAGAATAACAATCTCAAAGTGTTACACTCTGAAGTAGTCAGTGTCATGAAAAAAGCAGCCAGTGGTGGACAACATGTCAGTTCGTGCTGCAAGAGCTCTGATAGGTTGGAGGATCTCCTCCGGATGTTGTCATAATTACTGTGTAAATCTATGGAAGGGGGTGAGAACCACAAGCCTCCTAGGTTTTGTATTGAAGTCAGGATAATGGAAACTAGCTGTCCTCCGGCTAGACCATGGTGCTACCCTACAGAGTGCTGTTGAGGCTACTGCAAAACAGTGTGTTTTAATCAATTATTTGGTGACGTGAATATATTTTATCAAAACAAAAAACGTTTATTTGTCCCCTTCCTCCTCTGAGGGGCCTCTACTAGCCTCAAGTTCGACGATGAAGGTAAAATATCTTGAAAAATATCTTGAAATAAGATAAAATTACTTGTATTAAGCTTTCTTTAAGGTTAAAATAAGCAAAAAATATCTGCCAACGACATTAGATAATTTAGATAATTTACCTTGGCATTGCCCCCCCCCCCCCCCCTAAAAAAAATAAAAAACTTGGCAAGCACAAACAGATCTTGGACCAGGCTAGGGATGTTAGTGGTGGCGGGCCAGATAGGATAGGGTTGAGCAGGAGTGTTACATGTTGATGTACCATTTAATGTCTGATGAATGGGGGATGGAGAGGGTTGAGCAGGAGTGTTACATGTTGATGTACCATTTAATGTCTGATGAATGGGGGATGGAGAGGGTTGAGCAGGAGTGTTACATGTTGATGTACCATTTAATGTCTGATGAATGGAGGATGTTATGTCGTAGCCTTTTCCTGCAATCAAATGACCTAGTGGCCTCATGGGTGGAATGTTATTCAGGACGGAATCCCAGAAATCCTCATCGCCATGCCGATGTGATGAGGATTCTCACACTGCTTATGAAAGCACAGCTCAGATCATGTGACCAGGATGCGTGCTACCTTTCTCCCTAAGCAGACCTTCTTCGGAGAGCTGAAGAATGGGAAACCAGCACAAAGAAACGCTTTAAAGACACCCTGAAGGCTTTAACCCCCTACGGTTGATATCCGTGCCTCTGTGAAAATCTAATTAGCATAATACAAAGATCCCCGTAAAAAAAATGCGTCTCAATCCACCACATCCGCCTATGTCGCACTTCCGCATCTGCAGAGTCGGTCTTCTCACAAAATCGTCTGTAGCGCCAGAACGGTTTGGCCTACAAACTATTATGAACACGATGGTGTTCTCCGTTTTGCTCTACGA